AACATGTCAGTGAAATATTTCACTATAAGATGAACCGGCCTTATGTGGCTCTTCCTGTTCTAAATCTTCAAAGTCAAATAATGGAAAAAAATTCTGTAAATATCTGTATTTAAACCAGCAGAAAACACAGAGTTTCATTCATTTTGTGGCACACTGGAACAGTATTTTCATCGTTGTTAATGTTAGAATATCAATTTACAACCCAAACATGTGTAGAAACCAGTGGTTAAAAAATAATCTAACATAGTATTTCAGCGTTAAGAAGAAGATCACATTTCTGACTATACTTCTCTATAGAGTAGAAAATAACATAATATCCGCTGTCACATACAGCAATAACATAGTTTTTGTGCAAAGAGATTTTAGGTTTGACTCCAAAGATAAGAAACTGAAAATGAGCCAAAAGCACTTGATGAAAGCGAAATACAAACAATTTGATTTCAGTTTGTGCAGAAATGCAGAAAGAAAGATGGATGCCTTAATCAGAGCATGGTGGGGTATCATGTTATGTGGGGTGTTGTGGGACAGCTTTTTCACAGATTTCTGGATTTTCTTCTTAAAGCTGTCTGTTCGATTACATCGGGGTAATGTAAACCCAGCTAGTTCCCTTTTCTTCCAGATGAATTTGTTTGAAGAAATGGTTCTTAGAACAACATTATTTGTGTCAAACAGAGAGCAGTTTGTTTGTGTACAGTAGGTGGATTGAAACGCTCTTACCTTGACTGTCCTCTAGGGGTCCCTCAAGGCTCAGTTCTTAAACCAGTCTTGTTTGCATGACGAATTCATGAGCTGCCAGATGTCTGCACAAATATTCATTTGCAACTGTATGCTGACAGTGCAGTCATTTTTACCCATGCAAAACTAGTCCAAGGAGCACCTCTGATCTCCAGCATAGCAAATAGCTTTTTGATCATGTTTTCCTTCCTAATAATCTGGACTTTGTCATGTTTCTGGTGCCCTGGGTTGATTTTGAATTAAAGATTTTGTATTTTTTATAAGTGCATAGAGAGAGAGGGGGGGGGAGAGACTAAGGATTTCAGGTTTAAAAAACATTATCTTACCGTTATGGCAAAGAAATGGTCTTTGAACGTCACAGGAAACATCGTTCCATAGTCCAAAACCACCCATCACTGCACACGTTTCCTCTGCCCAGTCGTAATCTGGTTCTCCAGGGTACCAGTTCTGGTACCCGGTTCTGCTGGTTTCCCCGGTCGCTGACCACCTCCAAGAGTTGGTGTCACTGCCCATGGAGGTTTTCCAGTTTTCAGGGTCATCCCAGAGTCCGATCCAGGCCCAGGAATAAGAGAAATCAGATTTCAGCCTGCTGAGGTCATCCATGCTGTCAAAGGTGGCCAGGTCGGTGTATTTTTCTCTGCAGAACTGTCGGGCTTCGGTCCAGCTCATTTCTGTGGGAACATAGTGGTACTGACGAAGGGGGGGCTGTGAGCAGGAGCTGAGGGAAAGTCCTGTGTATTGATGGAGAGAAAATGATGCAGATCAGTGGATCATTTGAACTAATTTAGACTCAACTGGATGGTAATTGATGTCACATCTGCATTGTGAGTTTATTCATCATCATTTGCGACATGAGTTGCAAATGCTGCTGCAAGCTGAGTGGGACTTCAAATGACCACTTCCCTTTTTAAAAACAGATTAGAATATCTTTCTTGGACAGAATCAATCAGTGATTGTTATCAGGTGAAGCAAAGTAGATTCAAATTAACTGATCTTCATCACCCTTCTGCTCTGCAGACCATGAAGAGCTCTTAAATGAGGTGTGCTGGAGCAGGAAAACATGCAAAGAAAGCAGACTGACTAATGTTACCTTCACGGTTCATATCTATATCTACATATACTACACACA